GTTTCAAAACGATATCAACTGCAAAATGCAGAGGCTCGTTCAAACCCATACGTGGGAGGCTGGGGGGCGAGGGGGGGGGTTGCGAATAGCATCATTATAAGAATTTCAAATTAACTAGGGATGGTGAGTGGTACACGAAAGAAGGAAAAACCATGAGAAACGGCCCAGAACCCGAGAAATGGGACCCCTTCCTTGCCCGTTGATTTGCGCATTGATGCGACTCTCATCGCTGTGCCCTCTTCAACACTACGCTCTCTCTGCTATCTAATCACTCGCCACGTATAGACCTGCGGCGAGTGATTAGATGGTCGGTGGGCGTACCCCGCCAACCGCGCCAAGAGTGAGCCATGCTAGGTCGCCGAGGTCAAATCTTTCGGTGAGTCCGCACCCTCAGGAGGTCCGCCGGTCTCTCAACTAGGTGAATTACTCGACCTTTTCTTCGACCTCCATTCTTATCATGAATTCCTCCGCTAATACAAAGAAATATTATCACTCTCAACTTAATATTACACACTACAATATCACACTAATACTTAATGATTACTACTAAAGACGGTTCAGCTCATCACAAACTCACCACTAGGCCAAAGGAAGTGTTAGGCTCTTGAACAAGAATTTTCGCTAGAAGAGAATCCAATGAGATGAGCACATTTTCCGTGGGTAAGTCTTCAGCTGTTATTTTCGTTGTGTCGTTGAGCATTTGTGGGCCTTCTGAAGTAACTGTTCATTATCTATCCGAGGACACTGAATGCCATCTTTCAGCTAAATTACCTGGCACAAATCTGCACCTTCCACTATCGCCATAGCACTGCCATATGCTCAACACATCAGTTTGTGAAATGACATCGTCCGAAACAGACGTCAAGCAAAACAAGTACAGTAAAGTAATATAGCTCATAAGTACTGCTCGTAGTTAGATTAATGTTGATCTCCGGACCACCTTCTATGACAGACAACTTCACTAAAAGTCACTTAAATAAAGCGGCAAGAAAATGTAAGGGAGTCAAAATGTATAGAAAATGTACTGTAGAATTGCTGATCAGAACAAGTGGAATGAGATATGCCATTATTTACGCATTACTTCATTTGAAACGTGTTCAAACAACGGATAGATTGGGGATGGGCAAGATATGCTGACTGAAACCCTTTCAGATAGTTTGGGCAGGTACTGAGAAACTCGCCCCTTTGTGTTGTGTATAGAGAGTACAAATATCAGAAGGATGAAGCACTGATCGCCAGCAAAACTTCTCAATGGATGCGCCAGACATTTCTTTTTCGATCGAAACTAAGTTGAATAATTCAGACAAAGTGTCAACAAATTATCGAGAATAAAAAAGTTGTTAGAAAATTAAAAGTTCAACATTACTCGAATGTCATAGAATGCCGGTGCACACTACTTGTATGCACGCATACAGGCTGAGAGGGGAGGGAGGGGGACGGGAAATAGAAAATAGTCACTCTCCCTCCATATCAGAGCGCATTTCATTATACTCTGCAAAACTCAAAACGAATGCACCCAATTAGCGTTGAACACATTCTAATCTATTAAAAATTCATAACAGCCATCCACATCGACGGCATTGAAGATTTTCTCACGGAAATATGGTGCACGGTTCGAGCTCAACGAGTTCCCCGACCGTTCACAGACCATTACGAGGAAGTCTGAAAGGGGTTCGGGAGGGGTAGTCCACAGCCGGACTTGCTTTGTCTTGAAAGCCCTCCATCAATTCATGATGAAAAAATTGTGTAGCAGCTTCATGCTGCAGCGATCACGGTAGGGCTCCTTGAGCTCGTACTGCTGGTCATATGCTAACAGCTAAGAATGTTTTTCCGTGAAATTCCCATTAAAGACGAAAACAGGACGACGAAAAGCTTCGTGATGTGCACCATGTTCGGAATGAACTTTTGTGTTCCCTCCCTGTATGAGGGTATAGGAGCCTGATGCGGAGGGAGGCCGAAAAAGATTTCTCGCTCATGGCGCGCTGATGGCGCACTTCAACAATGTTTTTGTGGTGCCATGCTGCGTTCATGATGGGAGTCTAACTGCAAAGTATTCCTTCCATAGACAGAAGCTAACCATCCACTACTTTCTCAGTTAACGGAACTATTTGTCGGTGACGTCTCCACCCTTACGCTGGCTACATAAGGTCTTCGATTTGTCAACTGATGGATGACTTCTCAGAGACAGTAGATATGAATATGCAAACTCCTCCATCCAGTATTACAACGTCGTGATGGCTCACGACCCTCTGAGGACTTCGGACCTTTCTTTCAGAGGCAGATTCTTCAAATTTTTCCCCTGTAGAAGACTACCAAATTGTTTGATCGGTTGTGCTTTTCTTCTATATAAGTATCGCACATGAGACCTGCAGTGTTATTATTTCAAATCCAAGCGTGAATGGAGAAGTCGTCCTTGCTCATCACCTGTACGTAAAAATTTTGAATCGTATTTCTTCCAAAATAATGCGAATGGCAACATTAGCTACCAAAGGACTGAGTCATTGAAGTCTGAGTTCAAGCGGAAAGTCGTGAATTGTGGTATGCTAATCGCATTGGAAAAAATGGCAAAAACTGAACGGCTGATTGATATGTGAGAAAATGTGAGAAAAACAATACTGAAAAGTACTATAGAACGGTTACCAAGGAAACCTTCATAGCAATTTGTTTGTGCTGCATTCCGTTGACATGGAGACCTACAGTTTTCACATATAAAGTACAGCAAAAAACTACTCATTTGTCATAGCGCTACTTCTATAACCAAACTGCTTCATCGGAAATGTCACTAATGATTACCGGTATTAATTAATTTTCAACCAATTAGAGAGAGGTAAGAATCTCAAACATGGGATCATTCACCCATAGAATCCCTCCCTTTATGTTAAACGGTGCAGAGCCACCATAGCGTTCCTCTTACGAAAACGCGCTGTAAAAAAAGTGAAAGGGTAATGACTCCCTACATTTGAAAAGAGAAAATGAAGGAAGATGTCGGCATGGTGCGATTATTAGGTAAGTACTGTCGTTCCCTTCAAACGCAATTTTTCTATCGAGCCCCTGCTTACTCAGAAGGTGCTCCTTCCGGAAGAGAATTTTCCGCATTACAAAGTGCTCTGCTCCTGTCTGTACTCATCGCTATCTGACTGAATTATGGGCTTGCAAAATAGGATGTCTAGTACGTGAAAATAGCCAAGCTGCAACTTACTTGAATCTATGTTCCTCCAAAGAAATCAACTCATGCTGTATAATATAATACCATGTAGTCCCTGCTATACATCCCACTACTGGGCTATTTAACAAGTCTTGTCTTGTTTTTTGAATTTTGGTTATCTAGTCAGAGGTCCATGGGTGATCGTTGTATCGTCGAGTCTAGATCCATAAAGGTTTTACCGCAAAACCAATGGACCATTCGAAATCAGTAATAAGTACGGAAGGACGAAGTACTATTAGCGGCTGATTTTTCGGCATTTTTGGGGAAAATTTTGAAGTAATGCAGTTACTACGTAAGCCCTAAATTCTACCAACACAAAGAAAGAGCAACACGAGTGCGAGCATGACAGGAAAATCGCTTTCAATAGATGTGTGAAGTATTGTGAAAAATTGGATCTCAGAGAGAATATTCTGATTTCAAAATCTGCCACGAAATAGCGGTCAGAAAATGTGAGTCTTGAAAAATGCTTAACGTGTTGTTTCATGGTTTAATAGTGGATTGTTATAGAGGTCTTGACTGAGAATGAATGCGTTACTGATTATCTTCTTTTAACACGTTGACGACATCGCATGTTTTGGCATTTTGCACCGCGTGGGACAGGAGCGATTTTGCGAGCGCGCCGTCCTCACCTTACTTCCGCTTATTTTTTGTTTAAAATGCACAACAACTTGAATCTCATAGAATTATTTCGGCAAGGATGAAAGCATAAAGGTTAACTATATAAACAGTAGATTTTTGTTTAGAAAGCGCATAATGACCACGAAGAAGCAAAAAACATCACTTTCGTTACGAATAAGTTAAAAGCATTCTCCAACTTCTCTCTTCTTGTAACCTCGGCATGTCAGTTGTAAGTTTAACAAATTTTCTTGTGCCTTACGAGGTTGTTCGGTGGAACCTTTATTAATGGCCTAACGTTTCGACTGAATCGTCGTCTTCAGAGGCCTGAACGTGTTTCAAGCGTTAGACTTACGCTCTACACCACCAAGCGCCTCATCAACTCTAGCGGTTTCGACATCGTGTCAGAAACCCCTCGAGAAGATCAGGACAGCGCAAGAAATAAACTCACCGTCGGTTCCACCCTTCGAGCGGAAAAGTCCGCTGCCACACAGAGCGCTGATCAGTTAGAACTGAAGAATACCATACTGTCTCCTTATGTCAAAAATAGTCGGGAGACGCACGTAACGCTCTGTCATTCTACAGCTCGCAGTGCGGAATGAACGGCAGTAGATCATTTGTTATTGAAGGACACTCATCGCGGCTGTTCATTCTTGGATTTCTAGTGAATATCCAGAATGCTTCTAATGCCTTCCGCGCGGAAATTTCCGTCTCTTGAGCCAGCAGCGTGCACCTTATTTCAAATTCATTCCCATTATGCTCCTCAACCTTATGTCTTCCCAAAGGTGTTGTCACAGTACCGCGTCTCAAATTAGCAAGATGTTCCTTGATACGAATTGCTAAAACCCTTCCTGTTTCCCCTATGTACGTAGCGTTACATGCCTGACATTTAATCTCATATATTGCTCCAAGATGAGCACAATCTCCAAGTTTTCCATGCGGCGCAAGAATTTTGTTGTTTACTGGAACGCGGGTTGACCGTTCTTCCATAATCTAGCTCTAGATGTCGGTGAAGATCAGATTCTGTGAGCACAAACATTTTTCTTTTCCTATCGAATTTGCACATTGGCGAAGTGTGTGATCAACGAATCGAGCATATCATATTATACCGTATAACGGCATGATTGCTTATGATCAAGCGTCTACTTGAATAAGGCAAGAGTCAATACTTCCACCTTTGAAAAAAAATTCGTGGACAGAGAGTACAGAAATGGTGTTGAAATTCATACAGTTGTACTCAGCGCGATGAATGCTACTTGACAATATACAAGTTTTTTTCCCGAAGGACTGCTTTGTTTTTTTTTCATTTTTTTCCTTTCGATGAGCGGCCAATTTCCGGGAGGGGGAAAATAGGGACGAGGGACATTTCTTCGCACCTCATTAAGCGTGCCTCCAACCAAGGTGCGAAGTGACCTCAATTATGAGCGAAGGCACAGAGGTCACTTGCTACGCCTTGTCTCTAGAAATCGACATAAGAGATTGGCATATTGGAAAAGCGCTATCATTAGAAGTTTATGATACATACTGCGATTCAGTAAAAATTAATTATTAGGGAAATTTTATTATTTATTATTATTAATTGACTGTAAGACCTCTCATATATAGCATATGGAATCAACATATAAACACAAAAATATTATATAGTTTTGTTCGTAATATATCTGGACATTCTCCTGCAGTAAGACTCTATTTCGTCCCGTGAGGCTTCCTGGTAAATTTCATGAAATCTGTAATCAAGGCTGTAACAGTTACCGTCAGAATCACTATTCGGAAGTGCTATACCTCGCCACTTCCTCTCATAATTTTGTTTTCCTTTCCATGTGAGGAAAAGAGGAACATGATCAATGTAGTGCGATGAAACCGGTGCAGAAAAGTGAGGGTGAGCCGGGGCTTGGTCAACATAGTATGACAGTACTGCTTCAGAAGAATAAGGGAGGGTTGGAGCTTGGTCCACGTGATAAGTTGGATATCGGTGCAGAGGAATAAGTGGGTTTCGGAGCTAGGTCCACATTGTTGGCTGGTACCGTTGCAGAAAGGCAAAGGTGAGCTGGGCTTGATCAACGTAAAAGATGATATAG